AAAAAAAAAAAAAAATTAAATGGTTTAAAACCCAGTTGAGGAATTGGTTATGAATTGGTTCTTTTTAATGAATCAGCCAAAAAGATTAACGAAATGGCTACAAACTTGAACATGGTTTGGTCCAATTTAAAATGAACTGGAGGCTGTTGAAGTACTACTTTTCTTTAGGTTTGTGAGACTTCTTATTGACGTTAATTTGACGTGTGGAAATAAAAATATATATTCACAGCAGAGTTTTGTTGGATAAATGAATAATGTGGTTCCAAAAGAAAAAACTTTAAAAATATTATTTGTTATTGAGAATGATATTTGTTGTAAAACATGTATACAGTTTTTAAACCATCATATCACACAGAAGGGACTGTTATTAAAAGATAAATTTAAAAGCTTTGGGGATTTAAGATTCTAGCAAACTAAAATAAAATTGGCTCCTAAATATTTAATTTTAGGATCCAATGGGTACCTCATCATTTTTTTTAAACTTTTTTTTGTATCACACAAATATAGGAACACAAAACAAGCTCAAATGCAACAACATGGGGATACATTTATTTGCACAACACATGCATATGGTTAAACATGCATATTATGCTTGTACTGTACATTTAAGCTCTCTCGTTCACACCCTGATATCCCATGCTGCTATGTTTCTTATTTGAACTCTTTCCATGCACTCCTCCACCATCCTATTTTTCCTCTGTCTGGATTTCCTCTGCAAATTACAACCCCCTCCCCAACCACACACACACACGCACACACCCTGTAGCTGCCTGTCCTATCGTCCACCCTCAGTCGGCTCTAATGAGGGAGGGAGAGTGTTATTTTGGTTGCACGCCTGCGCTAAATTCTCTCTTGTATGACAGCTGATGGAGAGAGAGAGGAGCGTTAACCTTATAAAAGATTTACCTCTGCTCATTACAGCCTGTCAAGTAGCTGTCCTGATAGCACCAGGTTCGACATTTGCATCCTTGACTCTCTTCTTCATTCTACACTCATTTTCTTCATTCCTGTTGTTTGTTTGTTTGTATTGTCACCTTCCCTTACATCTCTTTCATTCCACCTTTCTTGAAACGTGTGTTCCTCCTATTTAATTCAAAAAGGTTTGGAGGTGTCAAAAGTGTTTGTGGGAGGCAACAGATTTTTTAGAATAGAAAAAGGAAAAAGAAAAACAAGTACATATATTTAAAACGTGATGTGACACACCGGTAAAGTTTCAACGTGTTTTTACTGTTCAGAAATATGCCATAAACATAAACTAACATTTGGAGGAAAGTAAACATATAAAATCCTAATTTTCATACATCTTTTTCTTAACATATCTGTCTGTTTTGAGCCATTGTTCAGATCATAAATGTGCTGTGCCAAACAACTTCTATTATTTAATAGCTGTCAGTATACATTATTACGTACCAGTTTAGATGCTACAGAAGTAAAACATGGGCAAAGCGTCTCTGCTGCCTTTTACAGGGATAGGTTTTTTATTGTTTGACTATTCTGACTGCACTTTTGTGAATCAAAAACAGAAAGTCTTCCATGTTCCAACAGTGCCATCCATGTTACTTTCCTCTGTCATTCAAATCTTTTTGTTTTCATTGATGAACTGCAATAGGCCTCAATCTATATTCCTACTCTAGGACGATTCATCAGATCCGATGAGATTGCACACTCTTTTTGCTACAATTTATGTACATAATAAACAAACTTAGGTCTCTCCATACCCAGACAGCATCCCAGTCTGCTGAAAATCAGTGTAAGATTAATCAGATACTCTGCTTTGGATTCTGTAGGTGGGACCAGCTCTGGACACCTTTCGAGATCCTGAAGCCCGGAAGAAAGCCATGAGCACCCACCACTCAGAGTCTGCAAGCAGGAGAGGGATTCTGGGTCAAGGCACTTACACGGTGGATTATCAGAGTTAAAATTATTACATCTCAGTGCCTCTGTGTATCAGGCATTAATCTCTCAATAAAAAAATTGACGTAATTTGTTCTTCTGGTTTTTATTTTGTCTACACATATACACACACACATATATATATTTATATATATATATATATATATATATATATATATATACACACACACACACACACACACACACAACTACATATAGCGTATATATAGCATAAAACATTTCTGAATATTTGATTTTAGCTCTAATAAAAACCGAAGTGTTGTCGATAAAAAATCTAGCATTTTGTATTGGTCCCTGGGATATCAGAGTTCGGCTGGGGGTCTCTGTACAAGTTTAAAAACCCTGCGGTTTAGGTGTTGCTCTGAAAGAGGAAAAAAGTAAATTGTGGTGAAGTGGTAAATGTAAAATCCAGCACCTTGTGCAGGATCCACGTCACGTATTACGTGTCTGCGATTTATATAGAAGAAAAGAGGGAGGGTTGACCATGTTTCTCCCCCTCCCACAACACATACGTGACCATCACCCCCCAAAAAAACATCCTTTAACCAATAACGACGTGGCGCTCGGGACAAACGCGGAATGGACACCTTTTAAAGCTTATTCCACCTCCGGTATTGGCTGTTTCCTGGAGGGTGTCATTTTCAGGTCGTGGAGATCACTGCCTGTGTTTATACTGTTACACAGGTTTAGTCCTCGCAGACCTGGACTAGAATTTTACACATCAGCATCGGGTTTAGGTCAGAGGATTTGGGGCTTAGTATGGTTGTAGTTGTGTCTCTAGAAAGCCAGATAAGTTTTCAAGCTGACGAATAGTTTTATAATGAGTGCTGATAGTGCTGTTCTTATGTAGTTGTACCTGTCCTTGGTGCTGAAACTGACCGGTGCACTTCACGGATTCGTTTTTGAGGGACTGTACGAGAACAAATTCAACAAAACTGACCTGCAATCAACAACAGGAGGAGGATCTGGTAAAAATCGCTTAAAATTAAAAATAATAATAAATTGAACAGGATCAAAAGAGGTTTGGCAGACTTTTTTTTAATGGCCAGAATTCTAATCTAATTTTACTGTTTTGAATCTACAAATTTTCGCTGTATCACCAAAACCAGTGTCAGAAGGGACAAATGCACATTTGATATTGATTTGTCTCGCGATGGAGGTATCAAACGGGTCGAGCTTTGGGATCGAGTCTATACTTTCTCACAGACCGACCAGTCCGTGTATGTCGAAGGGGGGGTGCAGGTCTCCAGCGGAGTTGAGCCCGCGGTCGGACCTGGACAGCGGCTGTTCGTCGCCTCCCTCCCCGAGACGGACGTCGGTGGAAGACGCGGTGCAAAGACACGCTCGCGCTCTCGGACTGGACTCTCCTTTACAAATATCCCAGCAACCGCGAACAGTCACGTCCTCGTTCTTGATCAGAGACATACTAGCGGACTGCAAACCTCTGGCAGCCTGTGCTCCTTATGCCAGCACTGGACAGTCAGCACAAGATGCTGAAGACTGTATGGACAAACTTCACAGCAATTCGTCCTCGGACAGTGAATACAGGGGTGAGACACACTAAGCTTGTTTTTATAAACACATCTTGAAGAAGAAGGAAAAAAAAAAAAAACATTGAAGCAAATACTCAAAAGATTTCCAGTGCAAACAGTTAAATTATTATTATTTACATGTTTAGATTAAGATTTAAATTAAAATTGATATAGGCTATGGTCACACGCCGTTATGCATTTTTACATTCCTACGAAATTAGGTAAAACTTACAAAGTCAAGATAAATATAAAAATGTAATTTATATGAATGTTTAAAAAAATATCTAAAATGTAAAAGCCTGAAAACGGAGGTTTTAAGAGATTACAAAATAAGTACGAATAAGTAGCTAGTTTACAGCATTGCTGACATCCGTCATGAAAAATATAAAATTATTTATATTTTTATGATCATTTTGACGTTTTCTTTTCTCTTCGTTCTTACAACGCAGTTCAATACAATTAATCGTTAAATTTATTTGCAATCGAAACAGGGTATTTAAATAAGAAATAGCCTACCTGTTTTGGAGGTCATTTATTCAAAAGTTATAATGGTTTCAAACCAAATCAAATGTCCTGATATAGGTTCAGTCCATTGAGGGAGTCTGTGAGCTCACAATTAACTGCCAATAAATGTTTCAAACAATTTGGGTTCTGAATTTGTCCATCTGATGATCAGATCTGTAGGCTAACATAATGACAAGCGCTTTTGAGAGCGTCTTAAGTTCTCATTGGCGCTCAGTTGAGCTGTTGTTTGAATTATTTTAATGCAATATTATAGAAAAAATAATATTAGCAAAAAGTGTTAAGTGCTGTTTAAACGCCTGTCTAATTTTTAAATGATGGAAATATCAGAATTTACTACGGTGAAATAGGCAATATAGCAAACGTGAGTGAGCTCTAGTCAGAAATGGCAATTCTGTCAAAATGACAAATGTTTATGGTGTAAATATGTGCATGGGGTTTTCAGTGAAAGACGAAGCTGATCGAGAAATCTCCAGCAGCAGAGACAGTCCCAGCTCCCGGCTGAAGAAGCCTCGTAAAGCCCGCACTGCGTTCACGGATCACCAGCTGGGGCAGCTCGAGCGCAGCTTCGAGCGTCAGAAGTACCTGAGCGTGCAGGACAGGATGGAGCTGGCAGCGTCTCTCAACCTCACTGACACACAGGTCAAAACATGGTACCAAAACCGCAGGTGAATACAAACATCTTGTGAAACCTCACACACGTTTGCACACTGACAAAGATGCAGCTGACTAGCAGCCATTATGTGGGCCGAACCACTTGAAAGGCGTTTTAAATTTAAAGGTTTTAAACAAAATCATTACGAAAGGTTTTATATTTCTGAAACAGTATAATATCAATATTATGCTGTCAAAGAATTGTTTGTAGCAGTTGTGCGTTGTTTCTGTCATGCTGTCAAAAAATGAACGGGAAAAAGTTGTGCATATACAACCTCGCACACCACGAGTCCAACACATTTAGTCATAAATAATAAATTACTGCATCGTGTATCAATAATTTAGCTTCCGCGTAGTAATTAAACAATTGCCAAAAATTATTAATTCTTTATCTGAAATGGCTCTGTGCTGAGTGACAATTTGACGGATGAGTGTTCTACAGGATATTAGCCTACACGGATTCATCCTCGACGAACAAAAACTTTCCATTAAGCGCCAAATATTTGATTACAGTTTGTTTGTTTATTTATTATTAATAATATTCATAGCTCTGATTGCATTAAGGCGATGTTGGAAAAAGCAACTATTTGTAATTTTATCCATGTTGCTTTAAGGCATTTTTGAAATGAATTTATAGCCTACCTTTTTCTACAAAGAAGAAGAAAGTAGGCTAGCCTGCTAAATATTCTCCTTGCACCTTGAATTTTAAAACATTTTCAAATCACGAGGTTGTCTTAGAGTTACTTTATTTGACCTGAACAAAACGTTCCCTTTCATAAAAATGTCAAATTATGCGAATAAATAAATAAAAACCTAAATCTTAAAGATTGACACACCTAAAGGGGTCGTCTTTGTTTTATGGTTTAGTGTCACATGACAACAAAATGGCTTCCTGCACGTTAGTAATGCCACACTTTGATGTGATGGACTAGATTTAAAAATATATATATATTTAACAACAACAACAGTATATATAATGCTAAACTACGGGAACGTTTTCAAGAATGTCAGCAATTTTATGAGAATATTTAGATATAAAAAACATTAACATTATATTGTAAATTAATGAGGCCCCACGTTTTTTGTTTCAAAACAGAACGAAGTGGAAACGGCAGACAGCGGTTGGGCTGGAGCTCCTCGCAGAAGCAGGGAATTACTCAGCTCTACAGAGAATGTTCCCATCACCCTATTTTTACCCCCAAAGTTTGGTGTCTAACCTCGACCCGGGACCAGGGTTTTATCTGTACAGAGGGCCGTCCGCGCCTCCACCACCGGTTCAGCGGCCTTTGGTCCCGAGGATCCTCCTGCACGGTCTTCAGGGCAGCGGAGATCCAGCATCTCTCCCTGGAGTGATACCGCGACACACGCCGCAATGAACCGATTCAACCTGACAAAAAAACTCAAACCTCAGGAACGACAGGGTTACGCTTGGACAATATGCTGAAAATATAAACTCGCAATAATAGACTTTCCAAATGACTCTGACCAAAAGGTGAATGCTAAATATTTATTAAACTTTACCGTCCGGAAGAAGTTATCAGAAAATTATTTGATGAGGTTCCATCACCTCATGAACCTCCTTACTGTTTTCTGAAAGAAGTTGCTTTTCCCCTAAGAAATGGCGTGGTTTATTTGCACAAAATTATGACGCAAGCAAACCAAAATAAACATAGGTTAAAAAAAATAACAATTAAGTTGAACCATATATGCAATAGTTGTGGATTTTTGTCTACCTAATGATAAAAATGCAAGAACAAAAAGAATAAAACCAAAACAACACCAATAATAACAATTAACAAATGTAATTTGTCACCGATTATTGTGATGGCATTGCTGAGAGCTGTTTTACAAAAAAATTACAAAAACAGTTTTTCAAATAAAATGCACAGATCAGCGCAAAAATGATTAATGGAACTACAACCTGTTCAGACAATTAATCCGTTTTTGTGGAAATTGTTGTGCTTATGGGTAGTTTACAACCCGGTTCAACAGACGCCAAAATAATTTCTGAATAAAGACCGTGAATTTGTCACATATGACGGAAGTACTTTATTCTTACATATTCTCTTGGTCAAACAAGTTTTGTATAATGGTTGTGAATATATTGTGCATAAAATGGGCTTTAAAATAAGCAAAAAAGTTTATACACACAAAAAACTGTAATTTTTATAACTGCATTACAGCTTCAACTGGACATCAAACCATCAGCCCGTGAACGCAGTATACGCAATAAAAAAATATTTTCCGTCTGTTTCCTGCGCTCATATTGTGACATGTTCTCCCATCACTCTGCATTT